AAATAAATAAAAAAATACAACTTTTCATGATAAGATTTTTCTATAATTTAATTATTTTAACACTTATGTTACTGACAGCATGGTTTTAACAACAGAGAATTTATAGAAAACGTTATTTTACTTGAAACGTTATTTCAATTTACTTGAAACAATGTCTAATATTGCGGCCTGCTTTAGAGATGCCAGATTATATTATTTATAAATCTCTTTTTCAATAACAATTTAATTAAAAAAATTGATTGACAAAAACATTAAAAAATCTTCAAAACAATTAATGATAACAAACTGATAACAGATTAAAAAAATTAACGAAATGTTTATTTATCATAATGTTATTTAATGTAGCCTTTAGTGGAAATAAGACCTTAGTAATGTTTTTTAGCTACAATAATCCCAGGGAAAAGTTTTACTTTTTGATGTCTTTTGTCGTCGTAACTGTCGTAAATTGTCGTAATGCCGTCGTAACTTGTCGTGACTGATGTCTTTTAAACTTGATAAGGTATTACGAAGCCAAAAATTATTTATATGTTTTATAACCAAGTAAAGATTTCTTTGCCTACTCACTCAAGTTTGCTTTGTCATAAGTTTTCACGTCATAATAATCACTCTAAAAAAATAAATAAATAACGGTTACGTGACGTAGCCGTTACTTAAATCAAAAAACATTCTTTTTAAGTAATAAAGAAAATGTGAACCTCGTCATTATATAGTACCTTAAGTATCAGAATGTAATCAAAATTTTAATGCTGAAATAAGAATGTTCCAGCATGTAACTAATCCAAATTCTGATTTTAAAATAATTCTAGATTTTTGTATTTATAAAGTTTCCTACAGATTGCAAAGCACTTTATTACGTTAAATAGCTCCATGTTGATTATAATACTTTTGAAATAGCCGCCCAAGATAACAATACAAAAATATATAACTTAATCAATTTTGCCTAATGCTCCATTTAGTAATTAAAATACTAGTTTTTCTAAGTGCTTGCATAAGTCTACTTTAGTATGTACAAAGAAGCGTACAGCTGTTGGAAATTTGTTTCGAAACCTTCCCGACGCTCAAATGGCGAATCAAAAATATTAAATGCCAACATGTATATTTTTTTGTTTAATTGTTATTGGCAACGGAAGTTATTTGTATAAAAAATCATGACATCAAACTTGTTTATGTGTATATATCTTATTGTGACAAAAGCCTAAAAAATTTTTGTTTTACTAAAAATAAAAACAAATAGTTTTTTATAGATTTGCTTGTAATGAACTTTAAGGATGGAAATATTTAATGCTTGATATCAGCTAAGTGTATTTATACGTGTATATTAACAACGTCATAAAGTTAAAAAATATGAACAAAATGAACAATGTTAGGCACTTCACTCACGTGATAAAAATGTAGACAAAATTTTGAAAGTTTTTTATATACAGGATTAATGAATTTTATCTAAGTAAGTTCACCAAAACGAAATACATGACTTCCGAAAACTAACATACACACAGATATATATATATATATATATATATATATATATATATATATATATATATATATATATATATATATATATATATATATATATATATATATATATATATATATATATATATATATATTACAAGGGTTGAATTAACGCATCGCGACTTGCGATATCTGTTAAATTATCTGGTCTTCAAAGTTTCAGTTTATGGAAAACCACGAAATTTACGGAATAGGCGAATAAACTTTAATTTGTTTGTGAAAATGTTATAAAAAACAAAACAATAAATTTATGACTACAAAAGTAATAATACTACAGTGTTGTTACTTTTTTAACACTCTTTTATGTTACATTTATAGTTTATTGTTTGATTAAACAACACATAATCAAGATATTATAATAAAAAAATGATTTAGTTAAGTAATTCTAAACTTTAATTAAAGTAGTAATGCATCTTGAAAAAATACAATGGATATTTAAACAATTTTAAAAACCTTAGCAACTTTTACGAATACATATTTTTATAAACAGTTTAGCATTTTTAAACATCTTACTAACGGTCTGGAAAACGCGCGTTCACTTTAAAATCAACCAATGAAAACACTGATAATTTACTTCTTAGGAGAAATCTATATTAAAAGGGGAGGGGAGGGGAGGAGGCTATAAACTTAAATTTTGTGTTATTATTTAATCAATTAAATCATAATAAAAGTAAAGACAAAAAAATATATTTCTAAATATACTTTTTTATTACTAAAATTTATTAAATTGAACACCTGTTTTTAGTTTTAAGTAAATGTCAGTACTACTCTCAGTGGCGAAACTGCAGTGTCATATTTTTTCATGTTAGTAGTGGGGGGTATATATATATATATATATATATATATATATATATATATATATATATATATATATATATATATATATATATATATATATATATATATATATATATATATATATATATATATATATATATATAACCCCTAATACTAACATGTTATGTAGTAACTAACCTGTTAAAAAGCTACTACATAGCCTGTTATATAGTTACTAAATAGCACGCCGATAGCTACAACATTGCCAGCTACATAGCTACTACACAGCCAGTGTCACGAAACATAGCTGCTACATTAGTAGTACTGTACTACTGTACTACAATAATTAGTACTACTTATGTAGTACTGATTTTTGTAATATTTGATTTGCAAATCAGTATATTTGCAAAATGCTGATTTATTGCAATATCAATTCAAAAAGTGTACACAACGATTTGATGTCAAAAGACGTCATTGCATAGCGTTTTTTTTAATTTAAAAGTGTTTTTTTTTTCTTTCACTAAAACAACCAAAAATCTTTATTAAATTATTTATTTTTATTTATTTTTATTTTGCTAAGATCACTTTCACATTGATTATAAACAAAGTTCATTTTTTACTTTCTTTTATGTAACATGGCTTTCGAGTTTACCTCCTAAAACAAATGTCCACAGACAGCCACGCTTTAATATAATAGTATATATATATATATATATATATATATATATATATATATATATATATATATATATATATATATATATATATATATATATATATATATATATATATATATATATATATATATATATATATATATATATATATATGTATATATATATATATATATATATATTTATATATATATATATATATATATATATATATATATATATATATATATATATATAATATATATATATATATATATATATATATATATATATATATATATATATATATATATATATATATATATATATATATATATATATATATATAAAGAGAGAGAGAGAGAGAGAGAGAGAGAGACAGAGAGAGAGAGAGAGAGAGAGAGACAGAGAGACAGAGAGAGATATATTAGCAAATATAGTAAAAACTAGATAACTCTCAATTTTTTTTAAACATAACTCAAAGTTTAACGCAAATTAAAGATCATCAATTCATGGACTAATTACGGGGCGTGCTATACTCCTCCGCACGCACACTCACAAAAAAGACGATTTTCAAGTTATAATCAGTTTTTAAAGAATTGTTGCGAATCATTTGTAAACGTTATAAACTTATTATGATTTAACATCTCTCTTGAGAATTACGTTATGTTATTAATTATTATTTCTATTATATTGATTTTGTGACTTGTGATTAGTGTTGTTATTTCTTAGTTGAAATTTGTCAGCTAAGAAATAACAAATAGTCGATTTAATCAACTATAGAAAAGTCAATTTAGTCGAGTGAAAATCTTAAAATTCTTTATCTTTTATCTATCTTTTTTTTTTCATTTAACTTTCCAATCTTTTATTTTTGTTTTTTTGTTTAAAAACGAGAGCATTTATTATTATAACTTTAGATGTCTTGATAGAGGTTTTGCCGAATGCCGAATATTCGCCTAGACGCTCAGCCGAGTCACTAAATATTCGACTGCCGAATAATCGGTTACACTTTCTTATTTTGAGGGTTCTTAGCTGGTTCATTGAAATGTATATTGTTGGTATAATGGCAAAAGACGTAATACAAAAATATTTCAACATCCCCACCACCAAAAAATCCTGGATCCGTTACTGTCCATAATATGTTGTGAATATTCTCGCAAAAAACTCAACACTGAGGGCGTTTTTTTTTTATTTACGACTAGGCAGTGTAACAGTGTTGCATGTTACATCAATTTGACGTTTAACTATAGTTATGTATACACGTATCATAAACGTATCATAAACGTATCTCTTCAAACCAATCAAAAAGATTACAAAAATAACCGGCTCAGGTTTTTGCATTTTAGAGAAAACAATGCGATAAATCCGTCTCAGTGCTGCTTAACACCGATGAACCATCGCCGGTGACTAGTAACACCGGTGATGATAAAACTCTAATTTTTAAGAAAAAGAAATGAAAGCTATCAAACTAATATTTTTGAAAAAATGCACACATATGAATGTGTGAAAAAGAATACTTCCAATTTTAAATGATATTAGGTTTTATATGATACCGTTCGCTGAAATTGGACAGCAAACCTTTAGTGTTTATGTGTTAGTTAGCAAACGCGATACATTATCCTAACAGAACTTGCAAATTTTATTATTAGGGAAAAGGCGTCTATGATGGTATAGCACCTATGGTGGCATACCGGTCATATTTTTTTAAATATTGGTTATGGCAAAAAAGTGATTAGACCAACATGTTTATACTGAATTTACATTAGTTTTAGTAAAAATACGTCCCTTATGCTCAAATATTGCTTTTATAATCAACAAAAATTGATTTTGGGATGTGCTGTTGTATTTTTAATCCCTTTAAATATTTAAGATTGTGATTTTATTATTAACAGAAATAAAACTTTCATGCTTTTTATTTCTAAGTTTTGTGCAGTTAATGGAATACTTAATTTAATTTTATCTTCTGAACAAGGCAAATATAGCTTGTTTAAATGAAAATGAATACTTCTTCCTATGATGGCATACTGACGAGTTAGGTGTGTTGCAATATTGACAAGTTAAGAAAATCTTTTATTTTCATAAAAACAACATATTTATTAGTGAAGTAAAAAGGAATTTTTGCTTCAGTAAAAATTTTTGTTATAAAACGCAATATCTCTTATGCATTCTTATTACACATAAAACTATCTCTTATATCTCGCAATATCTCTTATGCGTTCTTATTACACATAAAACGCAATATCTCTTATGCGCATGCGCAAAATCCTACACTGCTGCTGTGTATCACGAAAGGACCAGTTAGGATGATTACGCATAATTTCTGGCATTTCTGAGGCAAGACTCTAAAGTCAAATGAAATCATCAAGTTACCCTTGATGCTAACCAGCCCCATCCTTCCCTATGCCATCATAGGAGCAGTAGTTGCCTATGATGGCATACTTGTACTTTTTTTTAAAATAAAAATAAATAATAAAAAAATAAAACTAATGAAAACTCCTGGGGTTATTGTTGTTCTACATGTAATAAAGAATGCATCCATGTCAAAACTTTTGTTCTTGGTCTTCAGGATACTGAATAATGAAGCTTCAAAGTTAAGTATGCCATCATAGGCGCTTTTCTCCTATTTGCAGATGACAGTGTACATTGTGAATGGTTATTTTAGGAAGTATGACATCTCTAATTATATTTATTACTTATTTTCTGTTTAGTCTTATAAAGTTTTATTGTCGCTTTAAATTGACTCAGGGTCCTGGGGCAAAATTAACTCGTGAATCTCCAAAATCAAAAAAGTTTTTTATCACATTGTAAATATTATTTTATAGGCTTCGATATATAGCAAGCATTTAAGGCAGTACATAAATTATTTGGATCTAGGAATAAACTTTCCAGTTGTCAGAGCGGCCGTTCTCTCATATTGTTTTGCTCCATTAACATCTAAATGATATGATGTTAAAAACAGAGAGCAAAAATAATTTATTATTTTTATGACAATTTATTTCAAAAAATAAACTATTACCATATTTTGACTAAATTGACTTTTCATCGACTTAGTCGATTTTTAAAATGAATCAATTAATTTTAGTCAACTTTAGAATATATGTTAGTCAATTTAGTCGACAGTCGAATTATTTAATAGCCGTAACAACACTACTTGTGATAGGTAAAACCTTAATAGTTGAGAGGCTTTATTATTTTAATATATCTATTATAAATGTATTACTATTAAAAAAAATAGAAAAAAAGATGTTGCGAAATTTAAAATCATTTTATGGAGAAATTTTTACGTCCTGAAGATTTGACGCATATCCAAATTCTTCAACGTCATGCAAGGAATGAATTCACTGCTTTAAAACTATTGAAATCTTTTTTTATCTTCAGACGTCTGAAGAAAATTGAAAATAGTAATAAACTTTTGCATTAACGACTGTTTATGAATACATATCCGATTCACTAACTTTTGAAAACACAATCGAGTTTCTCGTCACTGTACGTTAAGCCAAAAAACGAAGTATTCACACGACATCAATTACCAACACGTAAACAACAAACTCGCATTACGAACTCATTTAAGCTCTCCGAAACCTAGCAGGATATTGCAACTTTAAAGCAGTAACAGCCAATATTTACTGCAATGAATCTATACGAGGTGCATTTACCACTTGTTCAAACTCAAGTATGATTTTGTCAGAAACTACTAGAAAACAAGACCCTCACACTAAAATTGGCTCGTTTAGAGTTTGCGCAAAAATACTCCGAGCAGTATCAGTCTAACGTACATCATATCAATGCAATGAGTAATACAAAAAAATATAACAATAATGTACAAACCTCTTTACCGACCACATAATTGTACTACTTCTGTGGAAAGAATCACCACCCGCGTAGTGCTTGTCCTGCTCAAGATGTTGTTTGCCACAAATGTCAAAAATATTGACATTTTGTGAAATTATGTAAACTGAATAGATTATTAGCTGTTCATTTGATTTTTTAGCTGTTAGTATTTCGTCAGACTGAGTCTGACGATATATTAACAATGACAAGTATTGGGGCCCATAACTGCCACTATACTAAATCTAATTTTCTGCATTAATAGATACTGGAAGCTCAGACAACTTTATCAACAAATACATTGTCAATAAACATCAAATCCCATATAAAAAACGCTTTGGGAAAGTGTCAATGGCATCGTTGTCTTTCAAACAAAAATCGAAGTCTTTGTAAAGACATTTGTAATGTATGACTTTTCAAAATTAGAAGTATGTAGATATCGCATTCTCAATATTACTTGATTTATGTGCTGATTTTATTCTTGGTCAAGCTTTTATGAACAACATAGCAACATAACAATGTCTTTTGGAGGAACATTACCTCTTTCGTTAGTGTGTAGTCTAAGGAAATCGCAGATATCACCTGCAACATTATTTGCAAACCTTTTTAAAGATTGTCGTCCAATTGCAACAAAATCTTGAAGGTTTAATTACGTTAGTAAGCTGTTTATTCAATTAAAAATTACTAAATGACAAAATTATAGACCAAATAACTTGCCTTGGAGAGCACTATAGAATAAATGCAATATTCTAATAAATGCAACAGATGTGTGTCAATTATTCCCACACAATAAAAAAGTTCACATAATATGCTTATCTTCTACCCATATAGATGACTAGGTTAAAGAATTATCCAAGTACAACATTTACAATACTCTTGATCATTCAAGCGCTTATCATCAAATCCCACTCATACGAGAAGACGAACCATTTACAACATTTGAAGCCAATAAAAATTTTTATCATTTTACTAGCTTACTGCTCCAACAAATTCAGTCGCTATTTTTCAACGAAAAATTGAAAAATTTATAAATGGAAACTCTTTAAATAAACCTAAGCGCATTTAGATAATTTTACGGTAGCGGGTATGACCTTTTTTTTTTTACATTTGTTCGTCGTATTACATATATATATTGCTAAAAATAAAAATAATAAACTTTTATAAATTTTTGATAAACGATATAACAAATATAAAGCAAGGTATTTGAAAGAAGATCAAAGGATCTTTGTCGTCAGAACATTGGGTAAGTTCAAACAAGCATTTAACATTGGTTACAACAACAATATTAAACTTCTAAAAATTTCCAAAGTATATAGTTAATAATCAAAAGAGAGATCACGCGGATCAACATACCAATACTTAATATAAACGTACACGTACCAAAATATAACAAAATGGTAAGTATAAAGTATAAAAATCAACAAAATAAGTATAAATAAACTTTTTATAAATGTAAATAAGTATAGGCAAAGTTATTAAACTCATATTGTTGATAATAACATAATACCTAATGAAAAAGTTAGGGTTTTTAACTTACTTTTAAAAACACAAAAAGTAATGGGTAATTCAAAACTAAAGTTCGTCAAAAGAGTTTTATTCCAAGTGTGTGGTGCCCGATAGGTAATTTAAAATTGATTAAAGTTCGTTTTCAAAAAAGGTTCATTTAAAAAATCAGTACTTCTCTAATGGTATTTGCTGATTGGTTTCTGAGTAAAAATATATTTGAAGACAGATAGGGACAAGTCGTTTTTTCTACATGTATACAAAGCATAAAATATTCTATATATTTAGCTCGTATATATCAAAAATTTTCATTTCAAAAAAATTATGTTTTATGTGAGAAAAGCTATTTGTAAGGCAGATTAAACGATTGCATGTTTCTGACGGCAATAAAAACGTTGCAACTTTTTTCTATACTACCCAATGGAATATTAGCATAATTTAGATAACTGTGTATAAATAAATAATAAAGTTTGAGTAAAATATTTTTATTTAGGTAGATTTATATGAAATACCTATGTTTTTTGAAATTTTAGTGCTAATGCAATTGATTTGATGATTCAAAGTAATGTTTTCATCAAGATAAATCTAAAAAATTTGTTACTGAATTCCTTTTTATTACAATTTGATCGATACAAATTTGAGGTAAGTTTAATGGCAAAAACTGCTTTTTGGGAAACAAAGGTTCACTTTGTTTTATTAGTAATTAGAGTTAACTTACTACACTTAAAATTTGGTGATCGACCGTAACAAAAGCTTTTGATAGGTCAATAAAAAGTCCTAACATATATTGCGATTTTCAAATGATTTTGAGATTTCCCGAACAAATTGAATAATTGCATGTTCAGTTGAGCTCAGTTGAATAATTGCATGTTCAGTTGAGCTCAGTTGAATAATTGCATGTTCAGTTGAATCATTTTTAAAACCGAATTGGTATAAGTAAAGTTATTTATTATCATGAAAATATTTGTATAATTGAAATTTATACATGAGTTATATTTAATTCTTTCTAAAAATTTGAAAATGTGGAGAGAAGAGAAATAGGGCGATAGTTACTAATAATTAATTTGTCCTCTTCTTTGATAATAGGAGTATTTTTGGCTATTTTTAACTGTTCGGGGGAAAACACCTTGGTGGATTGAAGCTTTAAAAACTATAAAAAGAACAAGTTTTAACTTTTCAAAACAATCTATAGCAACGTTTCGATTTATTTGATCTGCTCCAATTGCTTTACTTTTTTTTAATGATTTAAAAGCTTTTTCTAACTCTTCAAACAATAATTTAGAAGACAGCATTTGAACCAATGCAATTATCTATGGGTACCAAAATGTCAGTAAGTGAAGATTTAATCTTAGGGATTTTTTTTGACAGTGTTGAACCTATATCAATAAAAAACGTCTTAAGTTTTGAGCATTCTTCAATAACTTTTTTTAATACTTGTCATTTCCGTTTTGTGTCATTTTTAAATGAATTAAGTAATTTGGAGTAGTAGTTTTTTTAAAGTTTTAATAAACTTTTTCAAGTAGAATTTTGGAGTCCTTGTAACAGTTTTCGCTTGTAGGCAGAGCTGTCCCAAAAAGATTTTAAAGGAAGGAGGGGGAGAGGGTGTCGTGTCTGTTTTTTGCCGACAAAAGTAAACTCGTTTTCCGACATTTTCCGACTGCCAACATTAGAGATCCGATTTTGGCGATTCCAGTTCCAATTTGTCGGCTGATAAAATTCGTTGGGGGGCTAGACATTCTCAACGCCCCCCTCCTCCTCGGGACGGTCCTGCTTGTAGGTGTTTTTGTTTTCATAAAGTTTGTATGTAGTTTCTGCTTGATCTTGGATAATTTTTTGAAACTATTTGATAATCCAGGGTGTATTGTAACTCTTAGTTGTTATATTATTTCTAACGATTCAGAAATTAAAATCGTAAATAGAAAAAAATATTTAAAAAAAAGTCTTATAGATATTATTAGCATTATCATTGAAATTTATGTTTTTCCAGTGCAGCTATGTTATTTAATTTTTAAATAATTTTTGAAAAATGTCTAAACATTCTTCTCCGAAAAACTTGGACTAAAAGATGTCGAAATAGAGAGAGCTCATCGCAGTGGACAAAAAAACGATGGACAACCAAGGACTATATTACAAAATCTTCAGAAATATAAAATCAAAGTAAGAATATTGAAAGAATTGCATCGACTCAAAGGCATGGATACGTTCGTCAATAAACACTTTTCTCGAGAAACCGTCGCCATTCAAAAAAGTTGTTTGCTGAAGTAAAAACAAGGCGACTGAATGGTGAGAGTTTTTCGGTAAGGTATGACCAAATTTTTTATATTAAAAATAGTTTTGACGATTAATTTTATGGGAATTCTAAAAAGCAATCTTAAATATTTTTTATTAATATATTTTATTATTTATTTGTCATTAAAAATAAAAATACAATACCGTGTTATATAAATAAAATCTACATAACCAGGGCAAAATAAAGACAATACTTGCCTTATCACTTCGCCCCGACGTGCTTTCATCAGCAAGCGTGTAAAACCATTAAAAGGTAAGCATAAAATTACTTTGTACCATTTAAAAATTATATGCAAATATATACAAGTATATATTTGCATATTATTTAAAGAAAATTTAAATTGGAGATTATAGTCTCCAACTAATTATTAACTATAGATAATAAGATTTTATATTGTTAATAAGATAAAGTTTTTGTTTGAGTTTTTCCTTAAATAGAAAAAGTGAAGAACAGTTTTTCAGCTGGTTATTTAATAAAGTATTCTATAATTTAGGACCTCTGATGGCAAAAGAAAATTTATTAACCAAATAGTGTATTTGTAGTTGTTCGTGATAGTAATTTGAAAATCTTGTAGGGTACACGTAATTAATTTTATTGAAAAGTGTATTAAATATTAGAGGAGATAATTTATTATGTAGTTTGTATATAAATATCAGAATTTAAAAAAGGTTTAACTGAAGAACATTGAGTATGTGATAATTTTTAAACAGTTCTTTAGAATGTGCGAATCGACCTGCATTTGAAATAATTCTGACAGCGTCTTTTTGTCTACTAAACAGTTTTTTAACTTAGAACTGCATCATGCAATATTTGCATAGTTAATATAAAAATGTATGAGGGAGAAATATAAGATTTTTAAGCAGTTTTGGTTAAAGTTTTTCTTATATATATTATATATATATATTATATTATATATATTGTATTGTATATTATATATATATATATATATATATATATATATATATATATACTATATATATATATATATATATATATATATATATATATATATATATATATATATATATATATACATATATATACATATATATATATATATATATATATATATATATATATATATATATATATATATATATATATATATATGTATATATATATATATATATATATATATATATATATATATATATATATATATATATATATATATATAACATATATATATATATATATATATATATATATATATATATATATATATATATATATATATATATATATATATATATATATATATATATATATATATATATATATATATATATATAATATATAATATATACAGGGACTACTTAAAGTCCGGGACGCACGGCATTGAATCGATGTGAAATCGACGAGAGGGCTGACTTTAGCGCCTTCAATATACCAACATGTAATGTTAATAGCTTAAATAAAAGAGTGGTATTTAAAGATTATTGATAAGCTGCAACAAATGTTGATTCATATAGATTATATAATGTATTAACTTTAATTAATTTATTTTTTTAAGCCTTTTTATAACACTTTTAAAGTAGTAAAAGTATTTTTATTAAGATGTTTATATGATGATTGTATTGCAATAATAAATACTAAAATATTTTATGACTACTTAAATATTTATGACTATTACTTACTTATTATATTATGAATGTTACTTACTTAATTACTTAATTAAAATATTTATGAGTATTACTTGCTTAATTATTTATGACTACTTAAATATTTTATGATAAAAAATGAAAAACAGTAACATACTATTACAGTACGAAGATTTTATTTGATTTTGAGTATAATTACGTTTTGATGCAAATCAAGTCTTCAAACTGTTACTAATAGTTTTAGGGGTACTTGAGTTACTTTAGACTAAAGTAACTTTTTTAGTACTAAATAAAGTTGAGTACAAAAAAACATAAGAATGTTAAGTTATTATTGTACTAAACTAAACCTATTTTTAAGGTTATAAAATTTAAAAAATATTAATTTTATTCTCTATTTAAAAATAAATTTATAAAACCATTACAGACATGCCTAGAAAATGCTCAGTAGGTAATTGTCGTGGAAATTATGACAGTGCAAATGAGCATGTTAAAATTTACAAATTTCCAAGTGACAAAGAATTATGTGAAAGATGGTTAGCAGCTTTACCAAATAAAATTCAATAACCAACAGACAATATGGGTGTTTTTGAAAAGCACTGGCCTTTGGGGTGTAGTATGCACTATCCAAAATGATCTAAATATCAGGTGAATCGAATTCATATATATAAACAAAAATTTCAAATCAATGTTGTAGTTATACTTGTATGCTTTATTTAGTTCACATTAAATAGATAATCTAAAATCAATGGAAACTTTTTAGATTCCATCAGATCCTCCTTCACTATTTCCTGGGTGTTTTCCTTCAATGTTACGACGAACAGGCAAAACATTCCGTCAAACAAATTTTGAAAAAATTTCAATTGAATCAAGAAACTCATTCTGTGATGAACTCGATTCTTTCAACAAGATTGATAAAATAAAAAATTTTGAAGTCAAACAGTTTCTTACAGATGTAAAGCAGCGGTAAGAAAAGTTCTAATTAAATATAATTTTTGTAGGATTTTTTTGTGTTAGTATTACTAATAAATAATTCTTTTAAATATTTCAAGGTTTCCTGATTATTTTGTTGTTACAAATGCATTGGATCTGACTGTTTTTAATATGACATTTTCGCGTCCACCAGAAACTAATATTTCTGTTACAATCAATACTCACACTCAACAGTTACATGCTTATATCAAACACACACAAATTCATTGCAATGATATTTTGGGGTTTTCTCACAAACTCACTCGGTGGTCGAAGTTAGAAGCAATTATTTCAAGAATGAAGTCATCTTAACCTGAATTAAGCGAGGAACTAAAACATTTATTGCAAGAGATTGAATGTACATATGGAGAAAAATCTGATGAAATAAATTTTTAGATTGAACAACTACAACTGCAGATGATGCCTGTGAGAGGCAAGCGTTACTCTACGCTAGTTGTACGACGAGCTTTAGAACTTTACCTTTCTTCAAGATGCTGTTATCGAATTTTTTGTGATACACTTTCACTCCCACATCCAAGAACTCTTAAACTAAAATTAGGCAGAATCGGTGAAGTAGGAACACAAAAGGAATGTGAAGAATGTATTAAAACCGTGTTTGAAACATTAACTATTTCGGAAAAACGTTGCTGCCTGCTATTTGATGAAATGTATGTGAAACCAAGTATACGTTTTCGTGGATGTCATTTAATTGGTTATAGTGAAGACAATCCCACTGAAATTGCCAAGACAATTCTTTGTTTTATGATTAAGCCAATGTTTGGAAAACCAGCTTTTGTGTGTCGTATGGCCCCAGTTTATAAGCTATCTGGCATTTTTGTACAAAATTTAAATGTTGAAATCACACAGACAGTTGCTAAACTTGGTGGAGAAATTGTATGCCTTATTTCAGACAATCTTCCCACAAATCGTAGCGTATATCAATTTTTTGCTTTAAGTTTAAATGAGCCATGGCTTGCTAATATTTGCAACCAAAGTATAATAATGCTTCATGATCCAGTGCACTTGTTTAAATCAATTCGAAATAACTGGCTTACAGAAAAAACTGGAAAAATTCATCTGACACTAAATAGTCAATTATTTAAAAGGTATTGGAAAGATTTGGTAAGTTTATATGAAAAAGAAAAAAATAATGTTATCAAGTTGACAAATCTTTCATACAAAGCTATTCATCCAGGTGTAATTGATCGACAAAATGTCACCCATATGTGTGCTGTTGTTAATGAGAAGACTGTAGCAGCCCTTAAAATTTGTGATTTTAAAGAGACAAGCGAGTTCCTTGAAAGAATATTATTGATATGGAATTACCTTAATATTAAACAAAAAGGTATGGACATACGTTTAAATGATCCAAATAGAGCTTCATACAAAAATGTAAATGAAAAACGACTTCAAGAGATTTTGACATTTGCTGAAGCTGTTGCAAAAATGCCAGGAGGAAAGGGCTGGAAGCGGAACAAATCATTCACTAGTGAAACGAAAATTTCTTTGTCGAATATGCTTTACGGAATTGTAGATTTAATCCGAAAATTGCTGAATGAAAATCATCATTATATTCTTCCCGGAATATTTCAGACAGATCGGTTAGAAGGAGAACTTGGAATATACAGGTAGTTGAATAATTCCTTACCTATTTATGATCAGATTGATATTGTTGTTATTACATTTAAGCAGGGTCAGACTGGCACTGAAGGGCCCGGGGGCAAAAATAAATTAAATCCTTAATCACATATTTTTTGGTTATAAGTAGAAATAACTTTTATTTAGAAATAACTGGTAATTTGTAACATCAAAAATGATATTTCATAGAAATAACTATTTTTATGTATTTTTTATGTATTTTATG